GCTGGGGAAATGCCTCAATCCCCAGCCCCGGTTGGCATGATGTAGCACGATTCTGGCCACAATAATAATTTACATTTTAAGCCAATTTGAAAATGGCCAAAAAAATGAGAGCATTTTCATTTTCACAGTTAAATAAAAATTAATTACAACAATTTATCGTCGTCGTCGCAGCAGCCACAAAAAATGTTTGGAAATATTCAAGGGTACAGATTCGACTTGATGGTTTTCCTGGATTTTTAGGACTTACTTTGATAGTGTTTTAATAATCTTTAAACGTGGTGGTTGAGCAACGGCATACTTTCGATAAATAAAGATAAGAGATAAAGGCTTAATAAATTTAAACATAAATACTTCTTAAATACATATTTAGATGAGATCTATGAATTTGTGGCAGCTTAAAAAATAATTATCAACTAAAAAGCAAAATATTTTATTTTTTTATATAAAAAAAAACTTTTGATTTTGTAAAAGAAAACATTTATTTATTTTAAAATGTAAAATAAAAAGCCCACATTTTAGTTGGATAAAAATTTACCAAAATTGGCTTGTATTTATAAACTCTTTAATAAACCTAAAGATATTTTATAAACTTTTACTTTGATTTTTTTTTAACCTTTCCAAAAAATAGTTTATAATGCTGTGACTTATCATACCCAATTTGGTTTGTAAGCCCCTTTTATAGGGTACTTAACGCTGCGAATTACAAGGCGTACAACCCCCAGGACAACTGTCCAACTTGGACACGCCCCCTCACCGCCCTTTAGAAGTCCAAAAGCGCCATCGTAATGTGCGGCTTGTTGTTGTTAAACGTCGGCTAAAACGCAAATGTTAAACCCTTTCGTTAATGCAAAATAATTGCTACGGTTCGTGGTCCGAGTTTTCCAAGTTCCGCATAAAGAACTCTACAAAAAATAAAAGTAAAACGTCAAAACGGTATTTTATTCTTTCCCTTCCGCCCTTTTCCGGCTTTGGTTGGGTTACAAATTAGAGCGACGTCGGTAAAAAATAGCAAAAAAAAAAAACAGAAAAGGGGGCGTGTGCCGAGTTTCGTTTCATTTAGTTTTCAGTTTCCACCTAATTTACCCAATTGGGCAAAAGTGCTTTGTCATAATCAGCCCGGGAGCAAGGTTCGCATATCTAATGAATGAGTAGAATGCCGGCGAGGAGCCTGCCCCACAAAGCAAACTTTTCCCGAAAGGCTGGGTGGGATTTCGGGGCATCCTCCGCTGGGCACATATTTATCGAGTTGCTAATAGGCTGTCACATAATTAGCTCTCTAACAACCAAAATCGGACTAACCATCCCAAAAAAAAAAGGTTGCAAGGGCTGAATGACTGACATTAGCCTTGGCTTAGATGAAAGTCAAAGATGACCAGAAACGATAATGTCCAAAGATGCCCTAATGCATCTTGGCCTTGTCGGGTATTATATCCTTGTTCCGATTGGGTTAAAAATTGTGTTGTGGGTTTTTGCTCTGTGGCAACAGTCTAATCTACAGAGCTGTGGGGTCTGTTCATTTCAGATCAAGATTCAGAGTGACGGATGAGATTGAAGGTAAGATTAAGTAAAAGGATTCCAGGAAGCAAAAAGTTTATAAAAAAAGGAGTGTCAACAAAAAATAAGTAAACCGTTGATATGTTAAATTTGTCAAAGATATGACATTTGTTTCCATAACTCTCCGAATCGTAGTTGGTACACTGACAAAAAAATGGAATAGTACAAATAAATATCTGAATATCTATATTAAAATGATTAAATTAAATAAGGTAAAAGGAAAAACTTAAATAATGTAAAAAATATTAGAATATAAAAAAAAAAATTAAAATGAAATAAATAAATACAAAGAAGAAATATTCAAACAAAAAATGTTAATAGTTTCATGTTTAAAACAACTAAAAACCGAAATGTATGAAAATTAAACATTTAAATTGAATAAAACCAGTGCTTTAAAATATTATTTTATTGCTATTATTGCCAAACTCTTTAAAATATATTCAGGCTTGCAAATGGAAGTGTTCACATAAAAAATAATTTTTTATCTATTTTATATTTAAATGGAAATTAATATCAAAAGGCAAATTACCTCTGAGACTCCAACAAATCAGGGTTAACTCTATAAAAAAAAGACTTTAATATTTGAAAACATTGCATGATTTTGCCCTGGGGCTACCCAATGTATAGTAAAACCCAATCCTACCTTAGGGTCACTCTCATCAATTTCAGCTTGTTGAATGTATTCGAACCTCCTTTTTTCACCTCCCTACCGACCCTCATCATTCCTAATCAAAAAAATAGAGAGAGAGAAAAAGGCATCGAAATAAATATACGTAATGTGCCTTCCCAAAGGTCGCATTAAAAATCAACCGAAATTGACTTTGAAAAATGGTGTGAAAAACTCAGGGGAAACCCTGACCCTATTTTGAAAAAAGTTCGCATTAAACGCATTTTGCATGGCTGTGTTGCAATTAACGATGCAGAGCAGCTGCAATCAGGCAATGCTACAATTTACAGTGGAAGGTAAAATAATATATATTTTTTTGTAATTAGTAACCTCATTTAGTAAAAGTTTTAAATTCGGTATTAAAAACACTATAACCATTTCTTCAGACATACCCAATACACTTAAAGGCTTAAAAAAATACTAATAATAAATGTTAAAGAAACATCAAACGAATTTTTTCTCAGAGGAAAAAGGTATTTCCTCTGCCTTTCAGCAATTTTATTTGAGTTAAATTTCAGTAAATTCCATTGCCAATATTTATATGTTCATAAATGGAACATCGTTTTTATCAATATTGACAACAGTGTAAATTCATTGACAGAAAGATCGAATCGATAATTATTGCTGCAACGCCTCAATAGCTCTGGTAGTTTTTTTTGCTTGCCATTTTTGAAAAATGGTCACAAAAAACAACATCAGATGGAACAACCGTCAGGCAAACAGTGGTTGCCAATGGGCAAATGCAGAAATGCAAACTCTTTGCTGAATCGGAGTTCTGCTGGCCATGCTGTAAGTTGACCGTGTGAGATGATGGCCAGAGCGGCGATGATTGCCATGGCTTCGTTGGACGAATTTGTATATGGCAATGGTCAATGCTAATTGCCAATTATGGACAAATTCGCCAGAGCGCGAAATTAAATTAACCCCTTTTTTGTGCTGCCCCAATATCGGCATGGGCGGGCGAAAGTCCGCATCTGCAATCCGCGACCGCGTCATCAATCAGGAGCAGCAGGCGACAAAACACAAACTACGGGATGTGCAAATATGAAATATTTAATGCCACATATCTGCCTGAATTGTTGTCGAGGACATGGGGCATACGCGAATTGGTAACGACCCTTGGTCGGACGAACAAGTTGATGACGGGCGGGCCAATTAGTGCCGTCCAGTTGACGACTTTAAGCGTTCGAAACAAATTGCTAAGCACTTAATTTTGATATGTCTACAAAAAGCAAAATTAATAGAGAAATAATACGAAAGTCAACAGCTTAGTAATGATTCATTGGTCGATAATGAAAAAATTCAAAAGTTTACTTATAAATTCAATGGATATGGTCATCGAAAGAGATCTTAGCTTGGACTTCAATTTGTTAATTCTAGTAATTCTTAATAACATTAAGAAATCGAGAGAAAAGCACTTGCGTTATATATGGACAGCCTCTGAATTTAATTTAAACTAGCTCGTTTTAGGGGGTATTCTGGTATGGAAATTTGGAAAAATCAAATTTTTTATTTTGCATATTTTATAAGTTTAGAAAAATATGATACTTTTTTCAAAAATCGAATTATATTAGGAGATTTGGTTTTTGGTTCTCAGTGCTTGATTTCACGAAAATAAATAGCAACCGCTGTATTGCCGACATATCGATCTGCATTTATATGTTGGAAAAGAGAAAAAACAAAAGAGATCAGGAAAACATTAAACCCCGATAATGCAACAAATGAGTTAAGTGGCTTGCGGAATCGGAATTATTTCACCCTTCACTGGCACTCAATCTGAGCATTAAATATGTTATATCATAAAAAGTCGCTATAGTTTTCCCTTCTCGCGCGGTCTGCCAATGTAATTTCATTTCGTTTTTGTCACCATTTTTACAGCGCGGAAAACGCTGTCAAGTGTAAAAAATAATAACACGCATCGCGTCAGATTTTCCATGTTTGGTTATGATAATGGAACACACAATGAGAGAGAGCCAGTTGGATATCCTTTTTTTTCAGCCGCTGCTCATGTGGTTTTGCCGCTGTCAGGAAGGACTTTTCTGGCACATGACACAAGCACATGAGTATTGTGGTTCATAAATGATTCACAAAACTGTACGTATTGTCTTAACACATCAAAGGCAATCTTTGTCACAGGAAGCAATGAATTCCATTCGAACTTTCAGCGGGAGGCTTCGAAAGGGTAAACAAAAGCATGTTGGGAATGCTGAGGCTTAATATACGACTATGTGATACTTACTAGTCCTGTGTATTTGTGTCCAGTGTTTTAATATTAACGCAAATGCGGTTTAAGCAAGCGACCAAGAAACCAATTCATCTCAAAGAACTATAAAATAATTTTAGTTTGTAGATTAGTCCATTTACAATTTATCAAGTATATAATATACCTTTATTTTTTGTAAGCAAAGAGTATAAAACGAGAACAAAATGGAAACGTTTTCTGGCATATATAAAATTATCCAGAGATTACTTTTCAAAAAAATTATTTATGGATGGGGAAAACAAATACATATGGGATTTTGCTATCACCTTTTTAATCATGTCATTTAAAATCATTTTGGAAGCAATTGGAAACAAAAAGCTGGCAGTTCTGAACTTTCTTTTTTATTATATGCCATCAGACAAAAAAACAACATTAAATTCCAATTCGCTTTTCAAAAATGTACTAAAGCAATATAAATTCAAAGAAAACATAGGAATAAATTGCACAATACTTTATTTTCACAGAAGATATCCTTTGCCTTAACTGTCAATTATTTTTGTTGTGCTTGTTTTTAATCGCAATTGAAATCAGTCAATAAGAATCTTCAATCATGACTGTAACATATACCTCTCGCGTTAGCACCTCGAGTGTGGTAAGCAATTTTTTGGGCTTGCTGGTCAGGTAAGTACGTTAAATACAATTTACCCCTTTTCCCTAAATTTAACGAATTTCCCTCTATTTAAAGATGGCGCGGCAGTATTTACAAATTGATATGGTTAGACTTAATTGTGTTCTTTGGATTGTACTGCATACTGGCGATTATATATCGCCTGCTGATTAACGAAGAGGGCAAACGGTGAGGTTCGATTTAGTTATTTCTGCATTGAAATAAGCTTTCATTTTGCAGGTTTTTTGAGGCTGTTATTTATTATTGCGAAGTTAATGGTTCGCTCATTCCATTGTCCTTTGTGCTTGGATTTTTTGTAAGAATTGTGATGAAGCGCTGGTGGGAGCAATACACCACCATTCCTTGGCCAGATGGGATTGCCATTCTGATCAGCACCAGCATCCACGGCTCCGATGACAGAGCCAGGGTCATGAGGCGAACCATCCTGAGATATGTGTGCCTGTGTCAGGTGATTGTTTTCACCATGATTGCACCCCGTGTGAAGCGTCGATTTCCCACCTACAACCAACTCATAGAAGCTGGGTTCTTGCTGGAGAACGAAAAGAAGATTATTGAGGCCTTGGATCAAGCTTTTCCCTCCTATCCGAAGCACTGGATGCCCATCGTCTGGGCTGCTAGTATTGTGATGAGGGCCAGGAGGGAGAACAAAATCCGAGACGATTACGCGGTTAAGACGATCATTGACGAGTTGAACCAATTTCGTGGATATTGTGGCTTTTTGCTATACTACGACTGGGTCAGTGTTCCTCTGGTTTACACCCAAGTGGTTACCGTGGCCACCTACTCATTCTTCTTGTTCAGTCTCCTTGGACAACAGTGGAGCCCAGAAGAGGGCGCTGAGGATGGATTTAGTATTAAGAGATGGTTTCCCATCCTGACCGTTCTTCAGTTTTTCTTTTACATGGGCTGGCTCAAGGTAGCCGAAACTTTAATAAATCCTTTCGGAGAGGACGATGACGACTTTGAGGTAAGATCGATTATAATTTTCTCTTCAAATGTTTTATCAACTGTTAATAATATTAAAGTGTACACACAGTTTAAGACTGCTTGTAATTAAAAATATTGTAACTTAATAAGAATTTCCATGTGCTGCAGCTAAACTGGATAATAGATCGGAATCTCAGTGTTGCTTATTGTATTGTGGACGAAATGCACCAGGAGCATCCGGAGCTTGTTAAGGATCAGTACTGGGAAGAAGTTTTCCCCAATGAAATGCCATACGCTGTACCAAAAATGCGCCAAAATCCCCCAGAAGCTTCTACTGCCTATATGGAAACCCAATCCCAGAAGGTACAGTATTCACCAATTCAAAAAATATTACTTTGTAATTATTTAAATTACTGTTTCTATTTTATAAACTTCAGAGACAACGGAATGGATCGGGAGCATCGGAATGAAGTACCTTTTCGCGGACTAATTTTACACGGAACTTCCTGGGAAGACCATCTGCCACGGGGAGCTACTCGGACTCTTTTCAAATGGAAGAGGGCCCATCTCGAGTGACCTTCAGTGACAATCTGTTGGCATCAGAAATGGATGACCTGTTGAGTTCCCGAAAACCGTCGCAATCCACTGGTGAGTATAATATGATAAAACGTGTTCTTAAACAGCACTCGTTTGGATTTGGATATACAAAAATAGGGTTCTTTATTTTACTAATTCAAATTCCAAGTTTTTTACTTTTAAAAACAAACAAAGGAGCCCCGGTTCGCATAAAACTAAGAGTATCACGTTATAAAAATGAAAGATGTTTATAGGCAAAATAAACCAAATTAGATTGACTGATGTATTAACTTTTATTGAACACTATCAAAAGACCACTTTTTGCTTTAAATTGTTTGCTTCTCCTAATAACAACTTGCTTTTAATCTTGATCAGATTTTTGCTTAAAACTCAATACCCCAACATGAAGGGAGAACTGGAGCACGCATCATTTTGTATTTCTTTACTTAAACTAATATAACAAAGATGCAGCATCAAATAATCATTAAACAGATCGTTTACTTAGTTAATTGTGATTAATAAACAACACTCCCAAACTAAACCTATATTCCCCAGTTGATTTTAACGAGCTTATTGAGCAGCGTCGTCGTGAGCGCAGGGATCGAATGCGCCACCGATATATGGATATGCGAAGCACCCATCTCCGCCACGACCTTTCCGGTGATCCCTACACAATCACGGTCCTTCGTCCTCCGTCCGATGAAACCCTCTCGGAATATCTGGAAGCCGGTGAGGGATCCCAGCAGGATCCATCGGCCAAATCACCTCCTCCAAATAAGACAGAGAAGCACGATTAGAATGAAGATGAAAAAAGAATAATGTAATCTTTTTCAATAGATAAATGACCATTCATTAATTAATATTTTTTATTTTTATTCCCGTTACTCGTAGAGTAAAAGGGTATATTGTATTCGCTGAAAAGTATGTAACAGACCATATATATTCTCGATCAGGATCAATAGCTGTCTGTCCATCTCGGAACTATAAAAGCTAGAGATTTGGGATGGGAATATTTCCATTTTTAAAAAAAGTGAAAACCGCAATAGTTAACAATTGAAGCGAAACACTTTTAAATTGAATGGGAAAAACATTAACAGTGTTTATTTTTATAAGATTTCAGTTCATTTTTATTCGCAAAGATCTCATTGAATTTTCTGTCATACGACTTTCTCTTCTAGTTTATGGGTTTTAAATAATTAAATCAGTTTGTTTAATCATGACTGTGACTTACACCTCCAGCGTTAGCACTTCAAGTGTAATCAACAATTTTCTTGGATTGTTGGCTAGGCAAGTACACCAAATAGTGATGTTAACTGCATTAAAACCTCCCAGATTTTATTGTTTAGATGGCGTGGTAGTATTTACAAGGTGATATGGGTGCATTTATTTGTGTTCTTTGGACTGTATTGCTTACTGGCAATTATATACCGACTTCTGATGAACGAAGAGGGCAAAAAGTGAGCTCCATTTCATTTACATATTTCCACAGCGAAATCAACATAAGTGACATTGCAGGTTTTTTGAGGCTATTTCTTCCTACTGTTTAAGTCATGGCGCTCTTATTCCGCTGTCTTTCGTAATGGGATTTTACGTGACCATCGTGATGAAGCGCTGGTGGGAGCAATACACCACCATTCCTTGGCCAGATGGGATTGCCATTCTGATCAGCACCAGCATCCATGGCTCCGATGACAGAGCCCGGGTCATGAGGCGAACCATCCTGAGATATGTGTGCCTGTGTCAGGTGATTGTTTTCACCATGATTGCACCGCGTGTGAAGCGTCGATTTCCCACCTACAACCAACTCATAGAAGCTGGGTTCTTGCTCGAGAACGAAAAGAAGATTATTGAGACCTTGGATCAAGCTTTTCCCTCTTATCCGAAGCACTGGATGCCCATCGTCTGGGCTGCTAGTATTGTGATGAGGGCCAGGAGGGAGAACAAAATACGAGACGATTACGCCGTTAAGACGATCATCGATGAGTTGAACAAGTTTCGCGGTCGTTGTGGCTTTTTGCTGTACTACGATTGGGTCAGTGTTCCTCTGGTTTACACCCAAGTGGTCACTTTGGCCACCTACGCGTTCTTTTTGTTCAGCGCTCTCGGACAACAGTGGACGGAAAACGGAGTTCAAGATGGACTTAATGTTGTGAGGTACTTTCCCATCCTGACCGTTCTTCAGTTTTTCTTTTACATGGGCTGGCTCAAGGTGGGCGAAACTCTAATAAATCCCTTTGGAGAGGATGATGATGACTTTGAGGTAAGTTTGATAGCCAGAATTACTTTAATTAGGAATCAAAATATTTTCCCATTTAAAACTATAATTAAATTAAAACCAACTCCACTTTAATATATTTAATTTTCAAAGCTCAATTGGATAATCGATCGGAATATTACCGTTGCTTATTGCATCGTGGACGAAATGCACCAGGAGCATCCGGAACTAGTGAAGGACCAGTATTGGGATGAAGTCTTTCCGAATGAAATGCCATACACAAGTGCAAGCAAACGCGCAGAACCGCCGTCACCCTCAACTGCATATATGGATTTGCCACATAAGGTATCTTCTTAGAATATTTGGCAGTCACACTTATTTATTTTGACAATGACAAATAGACATATTATCAATCTAATTTTGTATAGGTTTGAAATTTTCTCACTTGACTATTTGAACAGAATAATCAATATCAGAATTTGAAAAAACAATATTTTTTTATAGCAATATTTTTACGAATATTAAAAGCAGACTATTTAAATACAATTTGAAAATAGTTTAAAAGATATATAAATTCTGGCGGCGTTCCAAGAAGTTGTCCATAAATCTATTTTAAATTACATACAAATATATATTTTGATTTTCAGGGATCGGCACATTCGACTTTAAGTACTTTCAAATTCGTGAACTCCTTTCAAATGGATGGTAGGCCTGCAGGGCTGACGTTTAGTGAGAATCTGCTTGCACCAATACAGGACGATCTGGACAGCTCCCGAGAACCGTCCCAAACCACAAGTTAGTGATTTACATTTTATTCCAGAGATCGACTAATTTTTTCACTCACTATATGTATATTTACTAAATTTCAATCAATATATTCCTCAGTTGATTTCAATGAGCTGATCGAGCAGCGTCGTCGTGAACGCCGAAGTCGCATTCGTCACCGATTTGTGGATTTGCGAAGTACCTATTTTCGTCACGATTCTTTTGGTGCTCCCTATAAGGTGACAGTTCTTCGTCCTCCGTCCGAGGAATCATTTTCAGAGAACCAGGAGGTTCTCGAGGGAACCCAGCAGGAAGCTATGTCATCATCTTCTTCAAAAGAACCAGACAAAAAGGATTAGAGGGATCCATAGGTATAGCTGATATATAACTATTAAATATAATAGGACATGCCAAATATCGGCGGAATTTATTCTACTGTCGATATGAACCGACAATTTGCAAAGGATCATTTTAATTCAATATTACCAATCAATCTATCGATAGTAGTCCCCAAAAAATAATTAAATATAGAATTCTCATTTCTTTAAAAATGAAATGATTTGGATAAATTAATAATAAATTAATCAACAATCTACAATTATAATTGCTTCATATTCATTATTTCTTCTCAGACTCTTTGTCCTTGTTCTTGTCCTTGTCCTTGTCTTCGTCCTTCTTCCTCTGACTGGTGTAGCTCCTGTCGGTCTGAGTCGCCGATTCCTTTTGCTGGAAATCAGTTTGACTCGACCCTTTTTCCGATCCGACATTAGAAGCAAGGTCTCCCTTCATCAGCTCCATGGCGAGGGCGGCCTGCTGGAGCTGCCGGTTCACACGCTCCTTTTCTCGCGTCTCCCTGAGTCGTTCGAAGTCGTCCTTGCTGTCGGAGCCCAGAGTTCTCGAACCCACCTCGCCTTCCAAATGTTCGCCGACCATGTCGTCCAAACTCAGGGTATCTTGACTATCCGATGAGTTCTTTACCGAAACGGAACTTTTGCTCAAGCCAAAAGTGCGATGGGCAAATCGGATCATTACAACAGGATTGGCTTCGTCCTCGTCGTCGAATTCGGTGTAATCGTTCTCCATACTGACTTCGCTCTTCACCGAGGGCAAGGGGTTGACCTTGGGGATGCCCAGTCGAGCGGTGGATGCCTCCGGATGTTCGGCCCTCTCAGACTCCACCAAGTAGGGCAGTTCATTGGGGAACACCTCGTCCCAGTACTGATCCCTCACCAGCTGCGGATGGTCGTTGTGCATCTCGTCCACGATCAAATAGCTGACCTGCAGGTTGCGGTCAATCAGCCAGTTCAGTTCAAAGTCATCGTCATCATCGCCGAATGGACAAATCAAGGTTTCGGCCACCTTCAGCCAGCCCATGAAGAAGAAAAACTCCAGGGTGCTGAATAGCGGAAAATAGTAACCGACCACATTGTTGTACTGTTTAGTGTCTCGATCGATCCACTGATGACCGAAAATGGAGGCCACGAAGTACGAGTAAACGGCCAGGGTTACGACCTACGATCATTTGAGTTTATGAAACACTTTTTCTGGTTCAAAAATATATATTACTTGACTAACCTGCGTGTAGACCAGTGGCACTGAGATCGTATCGTAGTGGATGAGCATATTGCATCCGGCTCGGAATTTGTTCAGTTCGTCGATCATGGACTTCAGTGAGAAGTCATCCCAGATGCGTCCCTCTTTTCTGGCCCTTGTCACGATGCTGGCAGCCCAAACGATGGGCATCCAGTACTTGGGATGCTTGGGAAACTTGGCATCCATTGCCCTAATGATGTTTGCCTCATTTGCATTAAGCAGACCCACTTCGATTAGCTGGTCGTAGGTGGGAAAACGACGCTTAATAACTGGCGATATCATCGACAGCACCATGGTCAAGGCCAAACACACATATCTCATGATAGTGCGTCGCATCAGGCGACCATGTTCATCTTGCCCACGAACCAGGGCACTTACGTAAACCGCCAATGGATCGGGCCAAGGAACCGTGATGTACTGACTCCACCAGCGCTCTATGATTATGCCCACATAAAAGCCCAAGACGAAGGAGAGCGGAATCAGGTTGCTATAGCTGTGACAGTACATCACAATGTCCTCAAAAATACTAGGACATTTTCATGGGGAAGAATAATATATTTTAAAATTTACTGTTACTAATTTATAAGATATAATACGTGAAAGATATACTGGAAGTTGTATTTAAACCAAAAGTTGAATATTTAAATATTTTGTCAAGAACCATATATATATAACAAAACAATAACAAAAAATTAAAAAAAAATAATTCTAGCATTTTAATAATTATGAGGAAACATTTTCTAATGTTTTTGTTTAACATTAAGTATTAGAAAAAAGGACAGTATATAAAAGTAGTCTTGTTACTTGTGTTAAAAAAAAACCAAGTGAGCTTACCATTTTGTATCAAAATATAGTTTATAGATCACTCGTTTTCAAGGCCATTAATATTATATTTGTTAAATTTTTTAATTATTTACTCACGGCTTATCTTTTTCCCTGAGCGCATAGCGGTATACCATGGCCATTAGGTAATAGCAGCACAGAAATGCCAGCAGATCCACCCAAATAATCTTGTAGATGCTCGCGCGCCATCTGCCGATTCGTCAGATACCTCTGTTACTATAGCAACTATATAGTCCCAATCGAAGAAGTCTCACCTCATCAAAAGCTTCCAGAAACAGCCAAAGTGACTGCAGGTTGCCACCTCAGCGGTGTATGAGACAGTCATAGCCGAAAATTGTCAATTGGAAAACTTTAATAATGCTGAACGGCTGGGAAATCGACTTGGCAATGCCAATGCCAATGTAAATGGGAACGGGAATGGGAAACACTTTGTGAGGCCATAAGCAAAGCCAACTTTGAAATTAGTTCTAGTCTTCGGTTTGGCTTGGGGGTAATTTTCCCACTCAAGCATTAAACGAAGGCAATTTGGTAGGCGCGTCACATTTTGTGGGCGTAATTATTTAAATTAGATCATTTATATTTGCCGCCAGGCCAGCAGACAACCCACAAAGGCCAATTTGCCACACGCTCTCGCCCGCACATGTGATGAAGTCTGCTCCTGCTCCTGCTCCTTTCCATATATGCACGGATATTAGTATACGAGTATATGGATGTGTTTGTATTTGTCTGGCGGTATCAAGAAGGTGCAGTAAAATTTTAATACCCCAGCAAACATTCTGTGTGGCCATAGCGGCAACGCCGTGATTTTTCCCACTCCATCGGTAAAAATGTGGAAAGCATTTCGAGTATCTTATCAGCATTTACTAGTTATTGATATTATTCCCTATAGCGAAAACGAACAGACAACAAATATCATACTTTAGTCCTTAAGTTAAGCTTAAGTTATTATAATTTGATTTAGAAAAGTGCAATTAAAATAAATTCTAGTTTGAAGGATAATTTTATAGCATATTAATATATGTGTTTTTTTTTAATTTTTAATTTTTAAAAACATTGTGTATATTTTCGAAAACCTATATAATTTTTGTGGATATAACCTCACTCAGAACTAAAATTTTGAAATGTTTACCCATCAATGTGCATGCAAATTTGTATAATGATTATATTAAATTACTTTCTTTTTAGTTGATTTGATTGATTTGTCTTTTAATCAACAATTAATGTTTGTAATATATATAAAACAAAATTGAAATAAGCTCAATTAATATCAACGTTTTATCTTGAATGTGATTCAGTTAAAAAAGAAATGTTATACATTCATGTATGTGGCATAAAACTGAGGAAAGTGAGTAATACCCTCGTGATAATACACAATAAACTTTGGGTTTGGTTTAATAATGTTCCTAATCAGTTTATAGATAATTAAACAGCTGCTAATGCTTGCGATCGTTTACAAACGAACTTAATTTGTCATTGAATTTGTCAAGAATTTGTCAGTGGAAATGTGGAATTTACAAATGAAAATGGTTGGATTGGAATGCCTCGGATAGTCGTCCCCTTTATAACGAGAATACCTACACCTGCACAATGCAATCAAAGCAGATTTGTTTAATCGGCTTATCTCGTATCAGCAAATCATATCTGCAATTATGAAATCAAGTCATTCATTCACCTTCTTATATGGCCCGAGCTTACGTAATTGTAGATTTCAGTGAGATAAGTCGTATATCGGAGTGCTAAAAATTGAATGCACTTTATTAACTTTAATGCACAAAATAACTATAAGCTATGAACCCAAAATCAAGACGTTACACAAAGCGCATTCGAGCTTATCAACCAACTTTACCACTTTATAAAATCTACAAATTGACACTCGACAGCTAACGACAATAAAAACAGCAACATCTAGACCAAAACAATGAAAACAATAACGATGGGAAGACGAGCAGAAAGCATTTATAATTGTGTTCGTCTCTGCGATATTATTATTGCATTCCACTATATAGACGGCCAGTTCTCGTAGCGCTCTCTCTATATAGCGGCCAGAATATTATCTTACACTTTCAGTTAACGCTATACACCGAAACCGTCAACAACCGGGCTGTTTGCCAGTGTGAAAGAGAGAGCGATACGGCTCGAAAGAGAGATAGCAACAGTAGCGGGAGAAAAGTATGAATGTTCAAATCTAAAGCCGAAAAAACGGCAGATCGGAAATGGAGTAAAAACGTGAAAACAAACAGCCTTATCTAAAACAACATAAATAATAGAGTTTCCGAATTGCCTGCAGTGTCGGCGAAAATCAAAAATCTGTTGTTTCGCTATCGCAAAGATCATAAAACCGAAAGTCGAAAAAGAACAACAAAATTAAACAAGAGCAGACGCAGTATCACAGCAGCAACATCGAAAACACAGCAGCATCATGAGACGTCATACAGTGTGAATCACTCTCTCTCTCCCTCGCTCTTTCGCCCCTCCCTCTCGCACACCTGCTAAGTTTTTTTTGTATTCGCTCTAATTACAACCCAGATCATCTCAGAAACCCGCCGATCCGATCCCCCGACTCTTGCCTTATCTCCCACAAATCCAGCCGACTGCGTCTCTTATCAGTTGTGCTTCGTGTGTGCACTGAGAGAAATAACATTTTACCATTGGAAATACATTTATGATACAAGCGATTCCATTTATTTACTTATAAAAACAAACAGTGCGATATAATATATAGAGAAACAGTGCCGCTAAGTGTCATCCGATATATTAACTTTCAACTATTTGGACAATACTCTGTCATTATTTATATGATGATTTTAAAACCCGTTTTCGAGTAATGTTGATCACCGACTTTGAAAATACTATTTTGAGAAAAACGCGTTTAAAGTTTGTACTAGTACTTTCAAGCAACTTTCAAAAACATTCACCGGAACGATATAAAATTTTATGTATTTATTCTTAATTATACGTAAACTAAAAAAAAAACATACAACAAATCGATATAGTTTTTTTTATTTATCATTCTTTTTATTTAAGAAATATGTTTTCTTATACAAAATTTAAGCTAAGGCCAACTGTATGATATTGGTTATTTTGTAAATATTCAAAAAGAAAAGTTTACAATTTCCTTATTAAATTGCTTGAAAGAATACTACATAGTTAACAGCGATAACGAAAATGCATTTTTAAAAATAGCTTGAATATTTCTCTTTTATAGAGCTTTTTTAAAAGACGAAAAATTCGTATATTTTGTACAGAATTAAATGTTATAGTTTACTCTGTCAGTTCTAGGTAGACTTTTCTAGCCGTGTACCCCGCTCTCTTCGTCCATGGCCAACAATCGCTCTTGTCGGACTGCGGAGGAGATTCGAGTTCGGCTCGGTGGACTGGTGGTCTTATCTTAGAGGAGTACGCGAAGAATTCGCGGCTGTAATACGACACCAACAGCCTGCAGACAGACGCTCCCAGATCGCCCAGATCGTATGTCAGTCACACTCTTGCTGTCCGTCCTTAATTGTTTTGTGTGAACGGAAATTAATAATAGACTTACAATTCATTAATAAGAAAAACCGACAAAGGCGGTGCGAAAATATTTGCATATTGTGAGTGCATTGGAGCAACAACTGCAATAGGAATCGAACAGAAGCGGAAACAACTGCTTCAAAGTCGGTGAGTTGAGTACCAATTTTACCATAATTATATAAATTCAGCATAATTTTCATTCGACAAGTCCGACGGACTCACCTAGACCCATTTAATTATCTTCGTTAAGCGTAGAGCAAGTAAATTATAAACTTAATAATAGAAAGGCAAACAAAGTTGCAAGAGGTATAATAAGCAAGAGCTTGAGCATCCGATTCTTATCAAAGTGTGGAGCATTATATTTTTTTAAGGAAAAGGTGTGGGTGCTTTGATTAGTCACCTGTTGGGAAAATACAATAAGTAATGATTTATGGCGGATGCAGTCAAGATTTACAAGGTTGGTTGACAGAAACATGTCAGGTTTGTTTGAACACTGTCATCGTTTTGCATTGAATTGATTCTGAAACGGATTAGTTCTCCAGGATAGGCGACAAAATCAATCCATAATTTAGTGCTGGGTTAACTTAAAAATGTTATTTATATTTATTACGTAATACAAAGAAGTAAAAGTTATTTCCCATAATTTCACATTTTATCAAACATGTTCTTCATGAAATTTTCCATTACAACCACCTCCATCCCTTAAACTTTCCCATATGCCACTCCCCACATATAGATTACCTACATATACCCAATTCTAAGTGGAACAATCGAGTTCAGACGCACAGCACACAATAGCCTCGCCATTAACGATTACAATTTGAGCTCAATTATTTGCATTATACAATCGTTCGGCGTCACAAGATAAGACAATACGTGGATCGAAGTGCATTATGATCATGGCTAAACCTATGAAATCGACTAAGCGAGCCTGCAAATTTTTTTTTCTTTCCAGAATCCCAGGGTTTATTGAACTTTCCCAAAATCGAGAGCGAGATACGGAGAAATGGTTCGGCAATTCTCGCCCTGGAAGGTTCTCACCCGGCGCAAGCATCTCCAGGCCGATGGAAGCGAGGGGGAGACGAAGCTGAACCGGGTGCTGGGCCTGTGGGACCTCACGGCCCTCGGAGTGGGATCGACCCTGGGAGCCGGGGTCTACGTGCTGGCCGGACAGATAGCCAAGGATCAGGCGGGTCCCTCGGTGATGATATCATTTGCCATCGCCGCACTGGCCTCGCTGCTGGCGGGTAAGTTCGATTGTGGCTACAGTTAACCCGCATTATAAAATAAAAACTTAGACAAGGAATGACATCATAAATTTTTTGTTAATTTAAATTTTCTATTATAACAATATTAACAGCTCAAGATAATTGGGTAATATTTAACTCTTAATCGCAAGAAAATACGTTGTTCACAATGAGACCTTTTAAATCCTGTTTATACAAATTGTTCTAAAATCATAATTTCAATTGATATTATTTTCAAATAGTTGGTTGAGAAAAAATAAAGTAAAATTTTTTATATTATTTTTTTAGCAATCAATTGTCATCACTTGTGATTTATTAATAATGTCACAATTTAAATTTATTTTTATTTCTGTAAAATGGTTGTTTTGTTTACGTACCATTTGACGTGTAGAATAACAATTTAATTATTTAAGTTAGTAACTATACGTGGGCATTTCTTAGATCAAAATACTAGGAAAATATTTTATATTTAAAAATTTTGGTACATATCTAAAATTTTACTAAACTAATACCCTTTTTTTTGTTACAATTTTATATAGGAGTTTGCTATGCAGAGTTCGGTGCTCGAGTTCCCAAGGCGGGATCGGCGTATGTTTATAGTTATGTGTGCATTGGTGAATTTGCGGCTTTTGTAATTGGCTGGAATCTCA